GGGGGAGGGTTTTTTGGAAGACGGAAGGAACCATCTCGTTAGACCACCTACGCCCAGAGGGCTGGTGGGATTAAGACGTGGGCGCACAAAGCCATCGAAAGCGCGCGCAGGCGCAAATTTCGCTGGCCGCGCCTGGCCCACGCGAGCCCGCGCCTGGCCCGCGCGCGGGCGCGCGAGCAATGCGAGCGGGCCGCCCCCCGTTTTCTTCCTGCGCCTCTCGGCGCGCGGCCCCGCGCGAAGGGCCCGCGCGCGCGAGTGGGGGCGCGACTGCATGTGCGTGGCTGCGCGCGGCCCCACGAGAAAGGGCCACCGCGCGCACGCGGCAGCGTTTATGTTTCTGCTTGCGTCGCGATGCGCGCCCAGTGCAGGCGCGCCGCGGGGATCGCGTCGGGGCGGATCGCGGCGCGCCTCGGGGGCGTGCGGTTTGCAGGCGTTGGTACTTGCATCTTGCATGTATCTGCGCTGACGCCCAGCCGTTGCGGACGGCGCGCGCGCTTTCGCGGTTGTCGTCGTGGCTGTGTGTCGTGGCTGTCTGTCGTGGCTGCCTGTCGTGTCCTGTCGTGTCCTGTCGTGTCGTGTCGTGGCGTGTCGTGCCTGCCGCGGCTGTCGGTTGTCGTGTCGTGGCTGTCTGTCGTGGCTGCCTTCCTGGCTGTCAGCTTCGTGTCGCCGCTCTCTTATCCCTGTGCCGGTTCCTTCCCCGCTCCCTCCTTCGCCAGGCGCAGGTGATCCATCTTCCTCCACGACAAGCTCCCATCGTCTGTTTTGCTGGCTTGAGGTCAGGACCCTCTTCCTGCGTGGGCTGGCCCACGAACCGTCACCGCTCGGGGCGCAGCGTCTCGGCTTGCTTTCGCGCGTGCTCGCCCTGCCCGTCTGGCTTCTCCTGGGCTTCATCTCGTTCGACCATCTACGCCCAAGAAGGCTTGTAGGATTAAGACGAGGGCTGGCTGGTGCGATGGCCACGCCAAACCGGTCTCCTGGGGCACCTTGGGGACTGCTCCTCCTTGAGCCTCCTGGCGCTTCCTGAGGCCTCTTGGGGCTTCCTTGTGTGTTCCTGGCGCTTCCTGGGGACTGAGCCTCCTAAGACCTCCCGGGTCCTTCCTGGCGGTGCCTGGGGCTTCCTCGGGCTTCTGGGAGCCTCCTAGTACCTGTTGGGGCTTCCGGTGGTTTCCTCAAGTCTCCTGGGACCTTCTAGGGCCTCCTGGGGCCTCCTGGGCCTTCCTGGAGCCTCCTGGGGAAGATTCGTGCCCCAGGGGAGGCCAACTATATAGGAACAGGTGTAAAATACGTAGGATGGGAACCACAGGAAAAGGACAATCTATAGGACCATACTAAAACACCAAATGCTAGCGCCCCACAGGACGCCCAACCTATAGGAACATATGTAAAACACCTCGGGCTGGAGCCACCGGAGAATAACAATATATAGGAACATACGTAAAACACAGCAAGGTTTCGTGCCCCCAGGAGAGGCCTGATCTATAGGAACATACGTAAAACACATAGGATTGGAACCGCTCCTGGGGCCTCCTGGGGCCTCTTGGGGCCTCCTGGGGCTCTCTGGGGCATCCTGGCGCTTCATGTGGCTTCCTGGGCCGCCAGGGACATCAAGGGGCTTCCTGGGGCTTCCTGGAGCTTCGCAGGGCCTCCCAGAGCCTCTTGTTGCATTCTGGGGCTTCCTGGGGCTTCCTGGAGCACCCTGGGGCTTCCTGGGGATTCCTCGAAACTCCTCGAAACCCCTGGGGCCCCCGTGGGGAATCCAACAATAGCTTGAGTCATGGCCGCAACGTAAGCTCGCACGGAGGCTACGCCGCTGGCGACCCCCTTGGGGGGTGAATGCAGCAAACCGCTCAAGACATCCTCAGAATCTGCTTTGAGCGCAAACGGGTCTGGCCACCAAAATAAACAAACGCCTGAGACATCCTGAACATCTGCTCCGAAAACACACGATGTCAAGCACCGAAACAAGCAAACCGCCCGAGACATCCCCGCAATCTGGGCGCGAACGGAAGCCGTGAGTACCCCTGGTGGCCCCCCCTTAAGAGTGCGAAAACCAGTGCCTTGCTCGAGACATCCTCAGAATGTGTCTTCAGGATTTGCTCTGAGCGCACACGAGTCTGGCCACCAAAACAAGCAAACCGAAGAAGACATCCTTGCAATCTGGGCCCCTTTGAGTGTGAAAACCAGAGCCTCGCACGAGACATCCTCGAAATCTGCTCCGAAAACGAAGGATGTTGGGCATGCACACAGGCAAACCGTCTGAGACATCCCCGCAGTCTGGGCGCGAACGGAGGCCGTGCAATACCCCTGGCGGTCCCCCCTTAGGAGGCGCCTCGCACGAGACATCCTGCAAATCTGCTTCGAAAGCGGAAGATGTTGAGCATGCAAACAACCAAACCGCCTGAGACATCCCCGCAATCTGGGCGCGAACGGAGGCCGTGCAGTACCCCTGGCGGCCCCCCCTTAGGAGTGCCAAAACCAGCAAGCCGCTCGAGACATCCTCATCATCTGCTAATCATCAGATGCTCACCATCATCTGCTCATCATCTGCTCATCATCTGCTCATCATCATCATCATCATCATCATCATCATCAGCATCATCATCATCATCATCATCATCATCATCATCATGATCATCATCATCATCATCATCATCATCATCATCATCATCCTCATCCTCATCCTCATCATCATCATCATCAGCATCAGCATCAGCATCAGCATCAGCACCAGCATCATTTGCTCATCATCACCATCATCAGCATCATCATCAGCATCATCGTCATCATCATCATCGCCATCGTCATCATCATCGTCATCACCATCAACATCATCGGACATCATCCGCATCATCATAGCACTCGTCCATCATTCACAGTCACCGTCATGTTCACCTCGCACTCTCACCATACCACGGCGAAGAGAGGAAGGGGGGAGGGGAGGGGGGAGAAGGGCCCGGAGCTCCCCAAGATGTGCATCTATTTGCATGGACGGGGTGTGAGTGAGTCCGAGTATGAGTATGATGAGTACGAGTCTGAGCACAAGTGAGTCTGGGACATCCTCGCCATCTGCCCCCCCCTGGGGTGCGAAAGCCAGTGAGTCTGAGTATGAGTGTAGCGAGTACGAGTCTAAGTCTGAATGGGTCTGAGTATGAATGAGTTTGACTACGAGTGAATCGAGGGTGGCTGGGTCTGAATGTGAGTGTTTCTGAGCGTGAGTAAATCTGAATGTGAGTGCGTCTGAGTATGACTACGGTGGACATGAAACTGGCTCTGACTGGGTCTGAGTACGAGTGAGTCTGACTACGAATGAGTCTGAGGGTGGGTGGGTCGAATTGTGAGTGAGTCTGAGTGTGCGTACGTCTGGGTGTGCGTGAGTCTGAGTATGAGCATGATGAGTGCGAGTCTGAGAATGAGTGAGCCTGAGCACGAGTGAGTTTGAGCATAAGTGAGTCTAAGACATCCTCGCAATCTGGGCCCTCTGGGAGTACGGAAATTACTGCCTCGACATAGACATCCTCATAATCTGCTTTGACAGCAGACGAGTCTGACCACCAAAACACGCAAACCGCGTGAGACATCCTCGAAATCTGGCCCCCCTCGGGTGCGAACACCAGCGCCTCGCCTGGGACATCCTCAGAATCTGCTCCGAAAGCAAAGGATGTTCGCAACCAGAACAGGCAAACCGCCTGAGACATCCCCACCATTTGGGCGCGAACGGAGGCCGTGCAATACCCCTGGTGGCCCCCCCTTAGGAGTGCTAAATCCAGCTAGCCGCCTGGCACATCCTCAGAATCTGCTCCGAAAGCGGAGGATGTTCGCAACCAAAACATGCAAACCGCCTGAGGCATCCCCACCATCTGGGCGCGAACGGAGGCCGTGCAGTACCCCTGGCGCCCCCCCTTAGGAGTGCTAAAACCAGCAAGCCGCCTTGGACATCCTCAGAATCTGCTCCGAAAGCAGAGGATGTTCGCAACCAAAACAGGCAAACCGCCTGAGGCATCCCCACCATTTGGGCGCGAACGGAGGCCGTGCAATACACCTGGCGGCCCCCCCTTGGGAGTGCTAAAACCAGTAAGCCGCTCGAGACATCTTCATCATCTGCTAATCATCTGCTCTTCATCTGCTCATAATTTGCTCATCATCATCATCATCATCATCAGCATCATCATCTCCATCCTCATCATACTCATCCATCGTTCACCATCACCAGCATACTCACATCATACTCTCACCATACCGTGGTCATCATCATGACAATCATCATTGTCTAGTGCAGAGAGGGAGGAGGGAGGGGTGGTCCGGCGCGGTCGGAGAATAACAGGAACCCATCCTTGGGGTATGGGGAATCTTAGGATATGGGGACTAACATGGTTTGCGAATGCCCTCCTCGCTCAGGCCGGGCCCCCCTGGAGGATTGGGAGGGGCACAAAACCTGACAAATAATATGGTTTGTGAATGCCCTCCTCGCTCAGGCGGGGCCTCCCTGGAGGAGTGGGAGGGGCAGGAAACCAAATACATAAAATAGTTTGCGAATACCCTCCTCGCTCAGGCGGGGCCTCCCTGGAGCAGTGGGAGGGGCAGGAAACCTGATAAATAGCATGGTTTGCGAAAACCCTCTCCGCTCAGGTGGGGCCTCCCTGGAGGAGAGTGGGAGGAATAGAAAACCTAATGAATGGCATGGTTTGCGAATTCCCTCCTGGCTCAGGCCGGGCCCCCCTGGAGGAGTGGGAGAGGTACGAAACCTAATACAGAACATGGTTTGCGAATACCCTCCTCGCTCAGGCGGGGCCTCCCTGGAGGAGTGGGGAGGGCACGAAACCTGATACATAAAATGGTTTGCGAATACCCTCGCTCAGGCGGGGCCTCCCTGGAGCAGTGGGAGTGGGAGTAGGGCATGAAATGGTAGCTATGCCATGGTATGGTAGGGTTGATATGATAGGTATGGTAAGTCTGGTGGTATTGGTATGGTATGGTATGGTAGGTATGGTATGAACTTGTAGGGATGGTAGAGGAGGAGGAAGAGGAGGAGGAGGAGGAGGAGGAGAAGGAGAACGAAAGGGTGTTCTGGGAAAGCAATAATCCCACTCAGAATGTGGAGAACAAATGCTATGTACGGCGAGGTGCCGAGAGCACTGCCGTAGCTCGGTGGTTCGGCGGCAGTCTGTAGGTGGGTCGCTGGCCATTTGCGACTCTCTGCTGCCGCTCACAGGGCACACTCGCAGCACTCCTGCGTGCATCCCACACAGACGAAAACAACAGGGCAGGGTCAAAAACAGTGAAGTGCAGGCTAGATCGCAACCAGCCAACGTTGACCCGAAGGTTGCCCCAAATGTGGCACGTCGCCTCTCCATACCTCCCTCCTGGTCCCCCCGTGTCAGTGGCTCCAGTCCGTAGCAGACTACTCACGACTGCAAGAGCCCCCGTGACCCGCATTTGCGGCGCGTCGCAGCTCACCAGAACGAGCTAAAGCGCACAGACCTGCGCGAGCTCGCACAGGAGGAAGACTCTCCACTGCTACAACAAAAATGCGAACCGCAGAAACCAAGATCCGTGGGGATTGGAACTGACTGGCACGTCGGGCCGCGACCAAAACAAGCGAAGATACAAGTCACCCTCTCTTCTTAAGAAGTCTCTGCGTCGACGGCCACGACGCCGTCGCGCGTGTTGACCATCTTGCGGCAGCAAAGCGGGCAACTGTGCTTCTTGGAGACGCACCGCGAGGTGCTCTGTGCAAGCCAGCGCGCCGCACAAAGCGGATGGAAGGCGTGCTTGCAGGGAAGCTCTGTCAGCACCTCGTCGGAGCCGACGTCCTCGAGGCAGATGGCGCACTGGTCGATCCCAGCCGCGCATGCGACCACGCTGGGGAAAGATGTGAACACCTTCTCGCCCTGCGACGCCTCCGATGGCAGCCGGACCATGAAAGGACTCTTGTCGGTTATCCCCATCTCCCTCCCTATCTTCGCGACGTCCTCGCTCAGGCGGGGCCTCCCTGGAGCAGTGGGAGTGGGAGTAGGGCATGAAATGGTAGCTATGCCATGGTATGGTAGGGTTGATATGATAGGTATGGTAAGTCTGGTGGTATTGGTATGGTATGGTATGGTAGGTATGGTATGAACTTGTAGGGATGGTAGAGGAGGAGGAAGAGGAGGAGGAGGAGGAGGAGGAGGAGGAGAAGGAGAACGAAAGGGTGTTCTGGGAAAGCAATAATCCCACTCAGAATGTGGAGAACAAATGCTATGTACGGCGAGGTGCCGAGAGCACTGCCGTAGCTCGGTGGTTCGGCGGCAGTCTGTAGGTGGGTCGCTGGCCATTTGCGACTCTCTGCTGCCGCTCACAGGGCACACTCGCAGCACTCCTGCGTGCATCCCACACAGGCGAAAACAACAGGGCAGGGTCAAAAACAGTGAAGTGCAGGCTAGATCGCAACCAGCCAACGTTGACCCGAAGGTTGCCCCAAATGTGGCACGTCGCCTCTCCATACCTCCCTCCTGGTCCCCCCGTGTCAGTGGCTCCAGTCCGTAGCAGACTACTCACGACTGCAAGAGCCCCCGTGACCCGCATTTGCGGCGCGTCGCAGCTCACCAGAACGAGCTAAAGCGCACAGACCTGCGCGAGCTCGCACAGGAGGAAGACTCTCCACTGCTACAACAAAAATGCGAACCGCAGAAACCAAGATCCGTGGGGATTGGAACTGACTGGCACGTCGGGCCGCGACCAAAACAAGCGAAGATACAAGTCACCCTCTCTTCTTAAAAAGTCTCTGCGTCGACGGCCACGACGCCGTCGCGCGTGTTGACCATCTTGCGGCAGCAAAGCGGGCAGCTGTGCTTCTTGGAGACGCACCGCGAGGTGCTCTGTGCAAGCCAGCGCGCCGCACAAAGCGGATGGAAGGCGTGCCTGCAGGGAAGCTATGTCAGCACCTCGTCGGAGCCGACGTCCTCGAAGCAGATGGCGCACTGGTCGATCCCAGCCGCGCATGCGACCACGCTGGGGAAAGATGTGAACACCTTCTCGCCCTGCGAGGCCTCCGATGGCAGCCGGACCATGAAAGGACTCTTGTCGGTTATCCCCATCTCCCTCCCTATCTTCGCGACGTCCTCGAACCAGTTGGGGCCCGCCGACTGCGGGGGCACCGCGGAGACCCTCACCTCGAGGGGCCCCGAGCGGCGCAACTCCTCCATCAGGGGCCAATACCCGCCCACCCCGTTCACCTGCTCGATGACGCACCCGGGCAGCACGGCCGCGTCGGGGTTCGCCTCTGCGGTGCAAGCTCATGGGAGCCTCCCGTAAGTACTATCTTGTCGGCTCCGGCGAATCGACTCTGATCGACGCTCAGTCGACGCTAATCGACGCTGAATCGGCGCAAATCGACTCCAGCCGACGCGAACCCGTCGCTATCTCATCGACTCCAGACGCCAATCGACGCGAAAGACAGGATTCAGAGGGCATGCCAGGCTCCCACGAGTTGCCACAGCACGCCTTGTTCCACCTGTCGAGGACGCAGCCCTCCTCGACGCTGTACAGCAGCGCGCCCGTCGGCACCATCCCGAGGCTCGCGCCGAGCGCATCGGCGGCGCCTTTGTGCAACCGGATGGTGAAGCGCTCGGGGCGCCCGCGCCCCGGAGCGCCCGCCGGAGGCCGCGCGTGCCTGGGGAGGAAGGTGCCAAGGCTGCCACGCCTCGGACCTCTCCCTGACTGCCTACCAGACCACCCCAACCCAACCCGAAGACCCCAATTTCGGGTTGGGGGGGATGCGGGTTCCATATGTGTTTTTCCCATGTTCCCCGACCCCCCCCCCAACTGGAAATGGAGGGCAAACTGAGGCCTTCGGGTTGGGTTGGGGTGGTTTGGTGGGGGGTGACTCCCGGGGTGCGTTCTGGCCAGAATCTCGAGGCGACCCCAGCGATGGCGACGAGGGCCTCCCGGGAGGCCCAGAAGCGGGAAAGCGGTCGGAAGGCAGCGGTCGGGGCACCTTTTCCTCCTCCGAGTGCCTGTCCTCCAGGACCTGCTCGATTTTGCACCTCGCCTCGGCAGCGACACTCTGAATGCACCCCATGGCGCGCCGCGACGCGGCGGCGCGTCCGAGCCCACGGTGGCGAGCGGCCTGATGCTGTTGCGAGGCCGACTCGAACCACAGTGAGCTCCCTTTGGAGCCTTCTTGGGGGCTTCATGCAGCTATCTTGGGCCGCCCTGAGGGCCTCGTGAACTGTCTTGGGGCCGCCTTGGGCCATCTTGGAATCCCACTGAGGCCTTGTTAAGCCGGTCTGGGAGACCCGCATTCCCTCTTGAGTCCGCCGATGCCCTACAGCGCAAGAAAACTTGAATCATGAGACAAGAGAACGTATTAGGGGCCCTCTTGGGCCGTCTTCGATTTGTTTTGGATCAAAGGGGCAAAAGGCACGGTGAGGTATCAGTTATCCTTTGTCCCCCCAGACCCCATCCTATTGTTTATACCGGTGTGTTTGTATAATGTCGTATGTAAGTGTGGATGTACAGTTGTATATATATATATACATAAATATATATGTGTATGTATATATATATATGTATACACACGGTGCATTTGATTGAATGTCTATGTAAATGTATGCGAACACATCTCTCTCTATATGTATATAGACACATACATCTAAAATACATATTCCCCAAACAATGCTTGCATTTTGAGTTTCTACGTCTGCTCTAAGGAACTGGGATGGGTCAATCTGGCAGCTATGCTGTCGCCGTCGCCGCCCTGTCGCCGCCCGTCGTCTACGCCTGATCGTCGGTCTCGCGGCTATGTTGTCGCCGTAGCCGCCCCGTCGCCACCTAAATTGCACAACGTAGATTGCACCGCAGAGATTCGCCTTTTCCAGGGCATAAAGATCGACCTGCTCCCCACCCCGGAATTATTGATTCCCCCAGGGGACGCGCAATTTACATACGGTTCTGCCCCAGCCTCCATCTTACATATAAACTCGTGGCATCCCAGCTAAACCGGTATCCCCCCCTGTCATCCCATGGCAAATCAATCCGCGCACTCTCGTTGATCAGAATCAAGCAACTGCCAAGGACCAGTTGGCAAAACAAAAGACGAAATGCACACGTTCGCGTTGTCGCGCGCGCGTGCCGGAAGCCCTGAAAAAAACCTTGGCATCCGCAGGGAAACCGAACAACAATGAAGCATATGGTTTCGCAACAGGAATGTTCAGACAAAACCTGCGCCCGTGCACTTGCAATTTTTTGGGGAACTAATTTTTCAACATGTTCATAAATTCTACCCCACGGGCCTCTCGCGCGCGCGTCGGTATCGCTCGAACGCCCTTACGCGCGCGCTGTCGCAAACATTGTTTGCAAACACAAACCGAGTTTCACACGCGCGCGTCGTCGCGGGCGCAAGCCAACATCTCTCGAATACCTACAGTGTCGTACATCCTTCAAAAACGGATGCCCCGAACACACTTGCAAAACAAACACAAGACTTCGCAAAACCAAGTCCTCCCCCCATTGATATATATATATATATATATATATATATATATATGTATAACAACAACAAAAAAAAAGGCGCACGTTTTTGCGAATTCCCACGCGCACCATGGACTGTTCAACATTGCCATCGGATTATGCATATCGGGCCTCGCGCGCCGAATGTTGAACTCATACAAACGCTCGTGCGCGCGTGCTCGGGGGGCATGATCCGTGTCAAATCATACCACGCGGGCTATTCGCGCGCGTTGGCCACGCGCGTATGTCGACCTCTTTCCAAAACCTGCATCACCGACGCGACGACATCGTCATCGCTATCGGCGGGCTTGACCAACATCGGCACTATCGCCACCATCATCGTAACTCTCATCACCGTGTCAATCCTTGTCGGCGTCGCCATGATACCGCGCCCGCCCAAATCAACAACTCGCACTGAAGTGCCCGCTGGGAAATGCCCAGCGGTCAGCGCCACAAAGGCCGCGTTGGTCGTGCCGCACTAGCTTGCCGCTGCGCGCGCGAGCATGTGCGGGCGAACGCAACCGCACAAATGCACAACTCAACGCCGAGCACTCATCGCAATCGCCGCCGCATGGGTTTTGAAAATCAGATTGCGGGTGTGTCGGTGGGGTGATTGCGCGAGCAGTGGGATTTACAACTCATTGCGAGCATTAGTGGGCTTCCCTGTCTCAAAAATCTGAGTTCCCCCCTGGAATGAACACTCCCTTTACTCGTGCACATGAATATATATATATATATATATATATATATATATAATGTGTACATATATATAAATTATAGATATACAGAGAGAGAAAGAAAGAGAGAGAGAGAGAGAGAGAGAGAGAAAAAAAGAGAGATCTGCGCGCACACTCGTTCAGGATAACCAAATATTGCCAACAACCCTTCGCAACATATGCGACGAATTGCGCACGCGCGCGTCGTCGCGCGCGAAAGCCATAATTATTCGAAAAACTCCGGTTGTGTAGCGATTTCAGGATCGACTGTTCTGTAAACATAGAATCAACACGTTTTTTTCGCAACCGATGATTTCTATTTTCATTTTGCTTTACCGAAAGCTCGCGCTCGGGCTTTTGCGTCTTCTTAAGCACACCGAAGTTTGTTCAACGAGCCCACGAAGACTTGCTACCACATGGGCCCCTCGCGCGCGCATGTCGGAATCGCTTGAATGGCCCCGCGCGCGTGCTGTCGCAAAAAACGCCGGGCAACAGATGGGACGAAATGCGCACGCGCGCGCCGTCGCGCGCGCATGTGGAAATCCTTCACAAACCATGGGCTCCGCACGAAATTCAAAAGCCAGCGTCCCGCAAACACATAAACACACAGGGTTTTGCAACGCGAATTGTCAAAACTGCCTTCGCTCGGGCTTCATTTTCGTAAAATCCGGCCAGGCTGGCCCCTTCACGCTGCGCGTCGAAGTCGAAATCGTTCGAACGCCCCTGCGAGCGTGGTGGCGGGGTTGGGGGGCACGGTCCGTGTCAAATTGTACCATGCGGGCCACCCTCGCGCGTCGGCCGCGCGCGCATGTCGAAGTGCCTCCAAAACCTTCATGGCCGACGCCAAGACATCGTCATCGTCGTCGGCGTGATCAGCATCGGCGCCGTCGGTGGCCCTGCCGTCCTCGTTGACACCATCGCCGCCAACATCGCTACTATCATCATCGCGTCTACCTTTGTCGACGTTGCCATGATACCGCGCACGCCCATGTCGTCGACTCGCACTGAAGTGCCCGCTGGGGAATGCCCAGCGGTCAGCACCACCGCGGCCGCGTCGGCAACACCAAACTATATGGCCGCCGCGCGCGCGAGCATGCGCGGGATAGCACGGCCGCAGAGATGCATCAGCCAACCCCAAGCACTCATCGCAATCGCCGCCGCATGGGTTTTGCAAACCAAGTTGCGGGAGGGTGGGTGGGATGATTGCGCGATCAATGGTGTGGACAACTCACTGCGAACAGAAACGAATAGTCACACATACATTCCACCACATAAGTTGCATTGCACATTATAGATGACTCAACATGGGTTGCCCAACTTATATTGCACCAGTAGTGTGCACCGACACATGCTGCACCACATAAATAGCGCACCATCCATTGCACCACTTAAATTGCTCCACGTCGACTGCACCACATAATGGGCGCACCCACGTTGATTATACCACATATTGTACAGCATGGGTTGCACAGTGTATAAATAACACCAGATGGACTGCACACATTAGCCAACATGCATTGCACACCATACATTGCTAGAGACACACTGCTTGGGGTTCACGCTGGCTGACACACAAACAACTGTACATATATATATATATGTATACATGTGAGAATTAGGGGCTGAGCGGTGTTCCAACATACTCGCGTACGTGCCAGAAGTGGGCTTCCGCGGTGATGATTATTGTTGTGTGTTGTGTGTTGGTTATTGCTGTCCTCGCCCGTGGCCCGACCACATCGCTCTGATGAAAGTTGGCATGTAGGGCGAGCCCGTGGTGTGATGCTTTACTCTCAACTCTCCTCCTGGTCCAAGAGGAGGACTTATTAAAACAGGACCCACCCCCCCAGGGATCGACGGTCGACTCAGCAACCGGTGAATGCCGCAAAGAGCTCATCCACTGGATGCCACCACTCGAGTACCACGAGGCCCCCAGACGATCCACTCGAGCCTTCGGCTTTGGCGAGGCCCCACGGGGGAACCCTCGACGGCGCACAGAGAGCGAAGGATAACACAATGCTAAAACAGTCACTGTCTGCACTCCGCGCGAGGTCTTCTTGGATCGGCGCTGGAACCCCCCCCTCTGTCGGTCGGAGAGCGCCAGGCGATGCCGCCAGGGGGGCTCCAGCGCCGATCCGAGAAACCCCCCACGGACCTCCGACAGTTGCTATGTTCATGCAGTGTTCGGTTCCTCGGACCCTCGGCCCTCGACGGCGCACACGAGTTTAGAAGCTTGAGGGGCAACGATCGGGGGGGACTGGCACAGGGGGGAAACATCGACCTGGAATCGGCGATCGATCGGCGATAGGCCCCCCATAGCGAAACCGCAACTCCCTGAGCGAGTTAGAACCATCGGGCCCCTATCGGCGATTAGTGTGCGAGCGGGGGTCGATAAGTCCCCCCTTCTGCCCAGCACCCCCTATCGTTGCCCCAGAGGATATTTCACGTGTATGCCATTTTTGGCCCCCTAGGCTCTCGACTCTCGACGGCGCACAGGAGCTGAGAAACTGGCCGACGAGAATCCAGGACGAGGACCCTCGAGCCTCCTCGATCCTCGAACCTCCCCGACCCCAGCTGAGAAACTGGCCGAGGAGAAGGAAGATCGAGGACGAGGATCTTCGAGCCTCCTCGATCCTCGCACCTCCTCGACCCCTTCTCTGGACCTCGATCCTCGTCGATCCTCCTCCTCCTCTTCCTCCTCGATCCTCCTCCGCTTCCTCCTCGATCCTCCTCCTCGATCCTCCTCCTCGATCCTCCTCGATCCTCCTCGATCCTCCTCCTCGAGCCGCGACGGGGCGCTGGGTCCTGCTCGGCCGCCTCGTGCTTTGCCGCCGCCCGCCGCGCCTCCCCGCGCCCCACCAGCGCGGGCACCATGCCCGGCCGCGCCGGAGGCCCGAGGAGGGCGGGGGCCGCGGGGGACGGGGGGGGAGCAGCGCAGCCACAGACCAGAGGAAGA